TAGCAGAAGATAGTCCTACTGAGAAAATGAGCACTTTGATCATTCAGTCTTTGAACTTTAACCTTTGACTGGAAGTGACCTATAGGCAATGAAGACTACTTCCTTTGACTGCATTTTTACTAGTGTGCATTCTGGGCGCATGTTGATCGCTGGTTCAGTCCATGCAACTGACATGCTTTTATTAGTCATACAGTATTAATGCAGATGTCTGGAAAAGTCAGAATAATTCCATTTATTTTTATTTTAAGCTTTTGGGAAGAATTCCAGGTCTTCATGTATTGTGCAATAACAGTGAATTCCTTGGCGGTTTTGGTGCATCCATTGCCGGCAATGGACTTTGTACCAGGAAACGTTTTGATCCTGCCGCAAAAAAAACCAGATTGATGCATGATAGAGCTTATGAAATGTTTTAGATGTATTGGGATTATAAGCAAGGGATCCAACATTACTTCAAAAGCCACCCCATTCTTTTACATTTGGATTCTATGCACTGTGATCACAAAGCTAGCAGCATGACAACATGCTTAGCAAAAGGACTGTAATAAGATCATTGCATATTTATTAAATTGTTTATTTTCTGTCAAATCGTTTTAACATGGAAAGTTTTCAGGTGACATTGGCAGAGAGGTACAATGTTATCCCTATGGTGAAACAAATATACCTTTTTTTTTGTATATAGTTATTCATATCTCTGAAGCAAAGGTATGAGTAATTTAGGGTGGGAGTGATTTAATCAAGACTTTATTTTGGCGATAAGATGACAGTGATATAACTGAATTTGCTGCAGTCCATAACTGGGCTTGAAATCTGTATATTAGAGCTTTTTTCCAAATAGATTGCACACTGTTACTTCCTGCTAGCCATCAGCATGAGCCCTACTGCCTATACAATATTTCATTTATTTATGTTTGAAAACAATCCATATAACATTTTTTGTTTGTGTTCAGTTTCTTTTGTTGTGTTGTATGTCATGTTTGAATGTTACAAAACAATATTTTGATTGAAAAAGCTTTGTCAGAAGATATTTTCTTGTAAATTATTTCTTTACCTTGTAAGCATCATCCTGTCTTTTAATCCTGTACTATAAAGAAAGAAATACATTTTTGACAGAGGCTTAATGTTTTGACAAAAAGTGTGGACCTTCTTATTTAAGTTTAGACAAAAATATATTTTGTTAACTTGATTGTCCCATATAGCCATACCACTTCTTTTCTGGACTTGTTTCACAAAATTTAATTACAATGAGTTTAACATTGTTCTACAGAGAAACAGTTGTTGAATAATAGATGATTGTTCTCACCACTATGTAATTTTGTGATACTGCAAGTAGGCTGTCTTTTTAGGAAGCACTGATGTCTTTTATAAACTTACTACCTTTACACATATGCAAAATTTCTATAACATTGCTGTTTTTACTGTTGCCTTATTGTTGCACTCTTTAAAAGAACTTCTAGTAGTCAGTAAATGAATGTGTGAATCAATAACTATATTTACTTGATTTTTAAAATAAGAATCAGAATCACTAAACTTTAAAAGAATACCAGAATTGGCTGAAAATATTAAAGTATTTTTTTACTGATGTATAGTAACTGACAACATTTTATAGCCTTGTGTAAACTTCTGTATGTTACCTAATGTTTAAAACATACATTTTAAAAAAGTGTAAATGCTGAACTCAGGGTGAGTAGAACTCAAATGGATCTGCTTTAGAGAAGTGCTATATACAGCCACTGAATTATGGATATTGTCAGTGAAGTGAGGCTACTTATGAAACTGCTACCTTTTCTACTGTATTGAGTCCTTTTTGACCTTTAAAACTCAACAGTAAAAAATTAGTTAAGTTACAGATACAAACTTGGTATATATAAAATTTCACAGAGAGCCTTTAAAAACGTTAATTTTTATTAAGAGCCAAAAATAATAATTTTAAGGATATGAAATAGTTTAGCTCCTATTGTAACTAACTTTATTTAGCATGAACATGTCACTAAGTTAATCACAGCTCAGTTAGTGTTTGTGAACTGTTAGTATGCATGAGCAGTAACTATATTTGGAATATTTAATCTGTACTTTCATATTAACTGCTCTGTATTTCTGACTGATATATTCTGCAGAATTCCATGCATTTATCTTCATACAGCTGGCTCACTTAATGGATCATATCATACACTCATTCTGGGAATCCACAGTAAAGAAACATTACTATGGCATATAATGCCTCTGAAGAAATTGTTACAGTGCATCCTGTCAGATTCAAGGAACTGTTTTTATACTGTGGATTGTGATAATACAGTATAATGGTGTCAAAGGAGCTTTATGATGTACTGTATCTTGACAAAGATACATACTGTAGTGTTAAGCATTCTACTTTGATTCAGCTATCAGCACTATGCTGTGGATTAAAATGAAGATGAATAAGTAAATCAAATAGCTGCCTTCTTTTATGCTGCTCTGTAAAACAGAAGTGTATATGAAAATCCTGTAATACATTAAAGTAAAACAAAAAAGCAAGGTGAATTACAAGAGAAAACATCTCAGGATATCTGTCCTGTGGTTTACAAGGGAAAAGCCTCCACACAAATATCCCAGTTCTGTTGCTAGTCTGTAGGTGAATTCACCCGTGTACAGAGAGCCAGTACAAAGTGTATGTACCACTTAAGCCTTCCGAATCATGCAGTTACTCTGACAAAGCTGCTATGTTCCAGGACAGAGCATAAATTAGTTGCAAGTTGGGCATGGATGAATTTTACCTTGTGTGAAACTCTTATTTGTCAATAGGGCTTCCTCACATGGAGTGACAGAATTAGCTCAAAGCTACCTTGCTTTTCTTTTATGTCAGTGCTCAAATTATTGAACATCTTGTGTTTAGTTTGTTTATACCATAACGCAATAAATGTTTTTAAAATAGATCACTGAGCTTGAATGGAAATAAGTGTGACCTGGTCATCATGAAGTACAGAAATGTTTTCCTGTGCTTTACATTTAGCTGCCTTACACAAAACTGTTAGAGTAATTCCAAAATTGTGTTATTGAAATGAAGAATGGAGTTTGCTTATTGGTGAGGTGTTTAATCTTTTTTTCCCCCAGAAAGTAACTATTGCAAAGGCCTAAGGAAATGTATTTTTTAATTTTAAATGCAATGGTATTAGAAAAGAGAGAATCCACTGGATTATCAGATACTGCCCTGGTGCTGTTTTTCAGCTCACGTGGGTGCTTATACATTCTTATAGTATGGTCCAGGTGTCTTTCTGACAAGCACTTTAAATGCTGAATTGGGAGTTGGAATGCTACATACCCTCTGACTTGCTTACCTTTGTGGGAGAGTCCATTATTTCACTCAGTACATTTCTGGGCTGTTATTGCATTACATTGATAGGTTTGTTCACTACTGTGCAGTTCTTCCTCAGCAAGGAATGAAACATTTCTTCCATTTAAAAAAGAAAAAGATTCTTTCTTGTAGCCACAAAACATTCTGTGAAAAATGAGGTATTGTAAATTGTGTATCTGATTGATTACAGACATCTTTTTATATGTTTGTTGTTAAAGGAATACTTTATTTCTTAAAATCTAGGACCGTTACAGTTCACAATTCAATATTAACTTTTTATTAAGTTCCAGAATAGGAACTGAATCTTTGCTCATCTCCCTATTTTCTATTTTAAGGACAAAAAGCTAGTTAAATTGCTGCACTGGAGATGGGGAAAGAAGGAGATAGGAGAAGAGATTGGATTTGTAAAGAATTTTGTGGTTTTAGTTGTGAAACCCATGGCAACTGGACTTAGTTTAATTTCTAATGATACTGTCCTTGGAACGCCCCAATCACAGGAAGGCCAGGGGAAGGAGGGGCAGCGGTAGTGCAACTCCCCCAGGGATCCTGGTTTGCTGTGATTTAAAAAAATCACAAATTCTCTGATTAAAAAATTGCAAATTCTCTGATTTAAAAAATCCATGGTTAAAATTAAATGTCCTCCTCAACCCTCCCACAGTCCTGCTTGCACCCCTTGCCCCTGCCCCCAGCCCTGCTGGAGGGGACCCCAGCTACTAGGGCTATGGGGCCAAGGACCCAGGTCCACAGCTCCCAGCCCCCAGCGGAAGGCAGCAGCTGCTGCAGCAGGAGCAGAAGCCGGCTCTCCGCACCCCCCACCTCTGCTGCCTGCCTGCTTGTGGACTCAGGTAGGACCAGCTTCTGGCTGCAGCATGAACTCCTAGTGGGCAGAGGGGATCCCGCTCTCCACCCTGCTGCCCTCCAGAGTACAGCATGTGCAACCTGGGATGGCAGTGCACAGGGGAATATGCACAAAAGGTGCCCGCCGCTGTGAGCTCAGCACTGCCCTGACCATGCTTCCATTGCAGGTAGGGGCAGCAGCGAGGGGCGCAACCTTGCGCTGCCCCCATGTACACAGAGGAAGCGTGGCCAGAGCAGCTTTCCGACACAGCCCTGCTGTGCCTTGCTGTGCCAGTCGCACACGCAATCCTGAGGGCCTGGGAGAGGGAAGCAGGGTGGGAAATGCAGCATTTGCAGACGGGGTTGCAGCCAGCCAGGCAG